GAATATTAAAACGTTTTATAGCAATATTTACCAATTATAACATTCCAACAAATTATTTTGATGATTCGATAAAAAATTATTTTCAGATTTGTTTTTAGCAAAATTTTTAGATCTTTCAACAAAATCATTCTTTCCGTGTATAGAGAGTAAAACGTTTAGAAACGAAAACGTCGAATTAATCATTTCGACGTTAATATTTTAAACGGAAACAATATTTCAAAAATACATATAGATTGTTAAAAAAATAAAAATTGACACTTACCGTTTAGAGGAGCATGATGAGAGAAGTGAGAAGGGAAGAATGTGGCCGTGGCCGCGGCCGCTGCGGCGGCCGCAGCGGCTGCAGCTGCATTTTGATGTCCGCCGCCCCAGACTGCAGGGTGAAGACTAGGCGAGATCTCCGGGATACCGCCGATGGTGGCGAAACCGCCGAGGTAGGCCGGTGTCGGCCTAACGGGAGTTGGGCTGGACGGATGATGCTGAAGATCCTCCACGTCAACCAGTCTGCTCTCGTCGTCCTCTTCGATGTCGTCCGTTTCCGAACATCTCGAGCGCGCCTCGTCGTGAGAGCTGCTTCTCGGTGATTGCGAGCCGGCGTCCTGGTGACTGCCGATGATCTTCGGAGACGAGGAACAGCCTACCGCGGGTTCCGGCGTGGTACTCATGTCGACGGATGGATGCATGCGGTAGTCCACGCTACCGGAGGTCGATCTTCTGCCGGGTGACTCGATATTGCAGGCGTAGTCGATCGCTTCGGGATATCTCGGTGGCGTTCTTGGCTCCGAACTATTATGAGGAGAGATGCAATGAATCAATCTGACATCTTGATTATGATTGGGCGACGATAAGGTGTATCTTGACGTTCTGAAGTCACACGGATGCTTCAGCATACGAGGCTCCTGTCGGATCGGCGCGTACGAGACGATCGGCGACGATCTGGGTGACGTTAAGATCGCGTCCTGCCTCCTCGAGGACTCCGACGTCTTTCTGGTGTCGGCCAGCAGGGCCGCGACGGAGAAGCTCAATCGATGAGCCGGTTTGGGACTTGCCTGAGCCTCGTCTGGCGAATCCGGACTGGTCGATGCAGGCGTCACCGGCGAGGTCATCCTTATTACTGTCATTCTTGGACGTCGATCGGTTACGTTCTGTGTCGATTAGCACTTGCTTGGATCCGCAATAACTAATTAATGCTCTGATATCTCTAGTCTCAACAAGAGCTATCCGCTCATTCCGCGACGGACTCGACGTAGTTCACTGCTTCACGAATGACTCTTCACTGACTCGTGCATGGTCTTTCACGAATTCGAAATCCGAAGTT